TCTATCTATCTATCTATCTATCTATCTATCTATCTATCTATTTTATCTCTCTCTCTCTCTAACATTTATCATCTGTTTGTCTGTCTGTCTCTCTACCTATCCTATCTTTGTCTACAACATTGATCTCCCTCTACGTTTCTAGGCACCAACCCCCCTCCTGCTTCCCAGGGAGCCGCTCCCAGTCCCTCCAGTGGGTGGGAGGTGGAAGAGGAGGTGGGGGAAGAGGAGAGTGCCCCCGACCAGTGGGATGATGAAGACTGGAGCAGCTTGGAGGTAAAAGGTCACAGGGGGGCAGCTTAAAATGCCCCTTGGCCAGAGAGCTGGAGAACTGGGGCGCATCAGAGATAGTCATAGCCCTTAGACTTATATACCGCTTCATGGGGCTTCCCAGCCCTCTCTAAACAGTTTACAGCAGGGGTGTCCAACCTTGGCAACTTTAAGACTTGTGGACTTCAACTCCCAGAATTCCTCAGCCAGCAAAGCAGGGGTCTCCAACCGTGGCCATTTTAAGACTGGTGGACTTCAACTCCCAGAATTCCTCAGCCAGCAAAGCAGGGGTCTCCAACCGTGGCCATTTTAAGACTTGTGGACTTCAACTCCCAGAATTCCTCAGCCAGCAAAGCAGGGGTCTCCAACCGTGGCCATTTTAAGACTTGTGGACTTCAACTCCCAGAATTCCTCAGCCAGCAAAGCTGGCTGAGGAATTCTGGGAGTTGAAGTCCACAAGTCTTCAAGTTGCCAAGGTTGGACACCCCTGGTTTACAGAGTCAGCATATTGTCCCCAACAATCTGGGTCCTCATCTTACCCACCTCGGAAGGACGGAAGGCTGAGTCAACACCTTGAGCGTGGTGAGATTCGAACTGCCAAATTGCAGGCAGCTGCAATACTGCACTCTGACCTCTGTGCCACAGAGGCTCCTAATTGGAGATGCTGGGTCACCACAATTGATTTGCTCCTTGATTTACGACCATTCGTTTAGTGTTTGAAGTTACAACAGCACTGAAAAAAGTGACTTGTGGCTGTTTTCCACACTTAGCGACCATTGCACGTGATCAGAATGCAGGCAGGTGGCAACTGGCATGTATTGATGGCGGTCGCCTTGTCCGAACAATCATCATTTGTATCCTTCCCCAACCAGCTTCTCACCAGCAAAGCCACTGGGGGGGATGCCAGGTTCACTTAATGACCATGTGATTCACTTAAGAACTGCAGTGATTTGCTTAACAAACATGGCAGTAAAGGTTGTAAAAATCAGATCTAGTCACATATTATGACCTTTTACAACCATCATGAGTTATGACCGTCATGGGCAGATTCCATGATGGTCATAAGTGGAGGACTACCTGTGGATATGTTCTATAAATAAATTGATAGATAAATAGATGAGAGAAAGAGAGAGATGGATTGATGTTAGAGATGATAGAGGATGGATGGGTGGAGAGATAGATAGATATGGATAGATGATAGATAGAGATATTAGATAGAGATAGATAGATAGATAGATAGATAGATAGATAGATA